CTAACCAACAGAGTGAGAGCCAGTCTCTACAAAAAGTTTTAAAACTAGCTGGACATGGTGTCATGTGCCTATAATCCCAGCTACCTGGGAGGATGGGGAGGGAGGATCACCTGAGCCCAGGAGTTCGAGATGACAGTGAGCTATGATAGCACCACTGCACTCCAGCTTCAGTGACAGAGTGAGACCCTGCCTTCAAAAAGGAAAAAATAACAGAAAAGAAATTGCAGCAGAGGAACAATAAGGAATCCTGAGACTAAAGTTGATTTCCAACTCTGAAACAATGATCAGAACTCCAAAATTGATACAATTTTAAAATATTTCCCTGACCAGTTGTGGTGGTTCATGCCTGTCATCTCAGCACTTTGGAAGTCTGAGGCGGGCAGATCACTTGAGGCCAGGAGTTTGAGACCAGCCTGGCCAACATGGTGAAACTCCATCTCCACTAAAAATACAAAAATTAGCCGAGCGTAGTGGTGGATGCCTATAATCCCAGCTACTCAGGGGGCTGAGGTGGGAGAATCTCTTGAACCTGGGAGGCAGAGGTTGCAAGTGAGCTGAGATCGTACCACTGTACTCCAGCCTGGGCTACAGAGTGAGACTCCATCTCAAATATATATATATTTCCCTGATCAGAAATGATGCAAGTTTGGTGACTGAAAGGCACAGCCCTGCCCTCCTTGTAGGTTCCTTGTATGTGTGGTTAGGGATGCGGAGGGGAGGAGGGTGCTATGCTTCTCCTGGAATAAAATCTGGAAACTCCAGGGACACCAGGGACAAAAGTAGCTGCATTTCAAAGGGCTCTGGCTTCCTTTGTGTCATGCACTTGGGGGTTAGATTTAAACCTCTGAGGATCTCTCCTCTTGGAGTTTGTATAAATTGATGTTCTTCCCGGAAGCTCTATGCTGTGCCCGGCTTTCACTCATTCTGTTCCCTTAACAGGAATGTTCATTCTCTGCCTCTGACCTGTGAAGTCCCAATCATCCCCAAGGACCAATTCCAAATGTCAATTCATTCCCCACCATCACCCTTGTCATTGCGTCCACTCCTCCTCTCTCTCTGACTTGTGTTAATGGTAGGTATCTGCAAATGAATCTAGGCTGGGGGGATGTCTTTGAGGTCAAGGACTATTTCTGATTCACTGTGTGTCTCTCTAGATCCCTCTTCCACCTAGCAAAGATGCTCAAAATACATATACAAATGATAGCCCTTTGTCCTATACCTTTTCTGAGCTTTGGAATGTCTCTCTGTACTGATAGAACATCATACAACAGACCCAACAGAGGAGGAAATGGCTGTGAGATTATCTGCCCATTATGCAGGATTCAAAGAAAGCTGTTTTCATGCCAGGAAGCCAGGGGATCATAGTAAAGGGCTGTCTTTAACCACAGACTTTTGTTAGGAGGGATCCTCCACGATTGAAGGTTGAGACCCTGGGACCCCTGTCTGATCTATCTCTGCCATCAGACCTGCCACTTCTCACATAGTTGCATATGGACAAGATGCCTCATTTTGGTGTGCACTGGGAGATCTGGCCTATCCATGAAACTCTCTCCATCGGTTGCCTGTTGAAAGGGCTCCCAACTGACTAAAGTCATAGCACAGACCAAATTGAGGAGGTTAAAAGAGATCAAGTGTCTGAACATGGCTCCTTTGGACTCTAGGAGGAGTTGATCAAGTGTCACTCCAGTGCATATGCTGTTTTTATGCACAGTATGGCTTTGAATGTCCCAGTGAGTGAGTCCATGTTAACAGTGTGTTCTCAAGCAGGAATATGCAGCTCTAGCTTCTGTTTTTAGAAAGCTCAGAGATTTTTCGCACTGGAAGAGAATTAGATATCCAACATCCTCATATCAAGAGGAAACTGAAGTCAGAGAGGAGAAGGGGCTTCCCAATGGTACATAACCTGCTATTGGCAAAGATGGGACCAGAGCCCTTAAGTTTTTCAACTTCTCCAGCAAATTCCTCATATCTAAGAGCAACGCTTCAGTTTTCCTTAATAAAGTGCCCCGGATCCTCACATTCATCCCTTTCAGAGTGCAACTTCCCACTTGGTTTACAAATGAGTCAAGAAAAGAAAATCTCCTCTGTAGGAATGTGGTGTGGGGCCAGCTCACTTGAGTATGCAAAACTTGACCTTGAGAGCTGCTAGCCCTTTACTGTTTTTTCTAGGTGCAACAGTGTGCGTGTCACCCCACCGTTACTGCCTGGCTGTCTTCACACATCACCTTCTCTGAGAGTGCTTCTCTGATATCCCCACCCAAAGAGCTCCCCACATATGCACATCCATTGATTATCATGTCTCTTTGCTTTTTCAATTTCCATGATAATTACTGAGACCTAAGATGTAAGACCCACTTGCAATTATTTTGTTTATTGGTTGTCTTCTCACACCAGAATGTAAGCCCCATGAGGTTAGGAGCCTCTCTGTCTTATTCTCTGTAGTATCTCGGGCTCCTAGAGGACTGCCTGGTACAGGGTTGGTATTTCATTATTTCTTACTATATATGAGAATGAATGAGTGAACTGAAAAGCAATTGACCTCTGGTTGTGCCTTACAGATACAGCAGAAGTTGTCTGCACAGAGAGGAAGGAAGGAGATGATCTTTGATATGAACCTTGCTGGCCAATGAGGTCTAGAATGTTAACAATTAATGGCCACATTCTCCTAGTTAACTACAAAGCAAGAGTGAAAGGAGATAATATTGGGCTAACCATTTGACTACATTGTCTGATTTATCCAAAAGATGGAATTTTGGTCCAGTAGTGGTACATCATCTTTGATAATATACACGTGCACATAAGGGTATTAAGTGTATAAGGGAGTGTACACACCCATATACACTCACTCACACTCTGCTATTGCCTGCTACCTATTAGATACTCCTGACAAAAGCTCTTAAACTAAAAATGACATGGTGTTGTTAAGTTTCTCAGAGAAATCCACCTATCTGTGGAACTCAAGACAGTAGAGGTCTGGTCTCCATAGAAAAATAAAACAGGGTCAAAAACCAATTTTATTTGTTGTTTTTCATTGGAAATACATAGTTAATCCAAGAAGCAAAGAGGTGTTGAAAAAGATTCTCTGATGTCATTTGTTTTTTCTTTTTCTTTTTTCTCTTTTTTTTATTTTCTTTTTGAGACGGAGTTTCACTCTTGTTGCCCAGGCTACAGTGCAATGGCACAGTCTCAGCTCATTGCAACCTCTGCCTCCCGGGTTCAAGTGATTCTTCTGCCTCAGCCTCCTGAGCAGCTGAGATTACAGGAGCACACAACCATGCCTGGCTAATTTTGTATTTTTAGTAGAGGCAGGGTTTCTCCATGTTGCTCAGACTGGTCTCAAACTCCTGACCTCAAGTAATCCACCTGCCTCAGCCTCCCGAAGTGCTGGGAGTATAGGCCTGAGCCACCGAATCCAGCCTCATTTGTTTTTTCATACAGATATATCTCATCTGCATTAGAGGTAGATCCAACATTCAGATGTGAACACGCTCCAGCTTTAATTTTAGTTTTTTTTTTTTTTTTTTTTAATAAAGAGAAACCAGCAATGCAATTTGCTTCTCATTGAGCACTATACACATTCAGCTATGGCTGAGAATTTAGAAGATACACATTCAAACTCCAGTTTAATTTCCTTTTTCCTGTTTGACTCCAAGCTCAGTAGGTGATCTTATAAGTTGACAGGGGTAACATTGCACCTATTAGCACTTGTCAACCAAAAGTAGATTGTTCGAGTTTCAATAAATGTTTTTTGAATTGGATTTAGGTTGGTGAGAAAATATATTAAGTCAGAATTCTTTGAGGCAAATTACATATTGAAATGAACAGTTTGGTGTTCATCCTGTCTACCATCCCCCTCAAAAACAAAAAGAGAGACAGAAAGAAAAAAAAAAGCAGAAGTCTTGCTTTTCTAAGCTGCGAGAATTTCTTCTGCTGCTACATCTGTGAACGCTTTACAAGGCAATGTCTACAGTTTGAGTTTTACAGCCCATTTTGATTGCAGTTTACATGACATCTGGGGCTCTATTTTTGGAGAAATTTCAAAGCTAGTGACTTCCAGTTTTTAATCAGCAGGGTATTTATTTTCTACCCTAGCATAACTGTTCATGGCTCCACATTGATTTTTTTATAGGAGACAATGCAAAATGATAATCAGAGTGCATTAGTAATTTGATCTTATATCTGTCAAGACGTTTACCTGCTCTAGAGGCTAGAAGGCAATGTGCTGACCTCATCGTGTCGAAAAATTGAACACATCGTGGTTGTCAAGGACAAGAGATTTTCAGTCATAAGAACAAAGACAGCAAGAAAGGCTAGCAAGGGAAGAGGCCATACAACCCTGAAAAGTACACAGCCTCTTGCCCCTCTGCTCAGAATCTGGGGTCATGTTTGCAGCCACAGGTGCCACATGCAGAAGTGTCAGAGGTGTGTGAACCAGAGCAACTACATCTTGAATAGGAGCTGGGTAAAATAAGGCTGAAACCTGCTGGCTGCATTTCCAGACAGGTTGAGGTATTCTAAGTCATAGGATGAGATAGGAGGTCGGCACAAGATACAATTCATCAAGACCTTGCTGATAAAACAGGTTGCAGGTTTCAGTAAAGGAGTCAAAAACCACCAAAACCAAGATGGCCATGAGAGTGACCTGTAGTCATGCTCACTGCTCCACTCCCACCAGTGCCATGACAGTTTACAAATGCCATGGCAACGTCAAGAAGTTACCCTATATGGTCTAAAAAGGGGAGGCAAGAATAATCCACCCCTTGTTTAGCATATCATCAAGAAATAACCATAAAAATGGTAACCAACAGCCCTCAGGGCTTCTCTGTTTATGGAGGATCCATTCTTTATTTCTTTACTTTCTTAATAAACATGCTTTCACTTTGCACTGTGGACTCACCCTGAATTTTTTCTTGCACGAAATCCAGGAACCCTCTCTTGGGGTCTGGATCGTGATTGCTTTCCGGTAACATATTTAACAGAAGGGGAGGCTGTGCAGAAATTATTTTCACTCCTTTCTACTGAGAAGGGAAAACACCAAAATTGAGCAGCCTGCTCCTCTGTAAGTGAATGAATAAGCATGAATAAGCACTTGCTTTTCGTTGTGGGTGAGTCAAACGGCCTGGCGTGTATGCAAGTAAGAACTAGAGCAGAGGCTGCTCACCTGCAAACTCACATCAGGGCTTCTTCCCAGAATTATGCTATTTTTTTGTTTGTATGTGTGTTGTTGTCGGCTTCTTTTCATACGGATTTGGATGAAGCTATTTAAACACATGAGATAGCAGCCACTAGGCCTGTATCTAAGAAGGTAAGTGGTTTGCCCGGGGTTACATGGCTAGTGGAAGAGCTAGTCTTTATAAGAATCTTTTACATAAACCAAACCAGGTGAGGCAGGATCAATAAGAGGGTGAAGTGAGGAACTGACAATTTTAAGAGCTCCAGGAAATGGAGGAGCTTGGAAAGAAAATTTATAGATGGTACTTTCAGTAGCCCAGCCACCTCCTGTAATTTCTGGCTTCACCTTTCTGCAAGCCCTCCTTTGCTCTGAGTTCTGTCTGGGCAAGTCCCAAGCTCCTGGAATGCATCTTTGCCTTCCTTATCTGGAAGTTAATCACTAAATAGCAGGTGGCGGAGATTCTGTTTTTCATCTCTCTTTCTCTCTCCTCTTCTCTCTTTTACTCACTTCCTCAGGGCTATGAATTTCTGAATCTTAAACAGGAAACCTCCCTGATTTGTTCACACCTGGAATGCCATTCTATCTTTGAAGAGTGCAGAAATTCGAGCGCGGGACAATCAAGAAAAGGAGCTGTTGCGTGAAGAGGGAAGAGAGAGGTCATCATTTAAATGTGAACACACACACTGAGAGGCACATATACACACACACAGTTTAAGCTAAGCATTCTTTCTTTCAACTCCTACATTTCCCTCCTTATCTCCACTGCCAGCAAATGTCTTGCAAGACAAAGAGTATTTACCGTATGTCACTTCAGTTATCAACACTCTGCACAAATAGGTTGACAGAGGAAACAGGCAAAGCACCTTTGCAGGCCCATTTGGGGTCGAAATAGCAACTAGACCACCTAGAGGCTGCCAGAGATTAGCTTACTTATTGCTCCTGCAAACGTTAGAAGCAGGCTCTTGAGAGAACCTGTCATCAACATGCCTGTCCCCATGGATGTCAGGAAGGTTCAGCCTTCTTTAAGGTTAAGAGGCACTGTGTCCTCTTCATGGACTGTTCATTTTGGAAAGAACCTTGGGAGATCATCTGGTTCGAGTTCCTGCCTTTAGTCATTGTCTCTAAATCCAGAGACCAATGTTTGTGATCTACTGACCCATAAGCTCCCTATGAGGAAAATGGAACAAAATATTGGGCACAAGGATATAAATCTAAATGCATGGTTTCTAATCTGTGGACCCTGAGATCCCATGGGAGCACTTTATTTGCATGAATCAGTGCTTATAGGTTGATGAAATAGCATGATTCACACACATACATTCTAATACTTCTAATGGTTTTATTCATTCATTCTACAAATACACACAAAGTACTGCTTTGTGCCAAAAACTGTGGTAGGTGCCGAGCGAATAATAGACAGGGAATAAGTCAAACTGCTCTGCCTTCATGGAGGTTCCAGTCCAGTAGTAAAACAGGCAGAGAGAGCTGCAGAAACACAGAGTGAAAGCAATAACTCAGATTTGGAATATCACATAGATAAGGTTATGATTAATGGAACTCAAATTCCTTTAAAGGTAGTAGTCTCTGTCTGCTATTAAGCATTTGCTCTATCAATGCATTCCTAAATGTATTTTTATCTACAGGACTATACATGTTTTCAGATTAAAATGTGCTCTCCTGACTAAAAAGGTTGGATACCACTGACCTAAATCATCTGCTAGGATTTCCTTTTCTATCCCAGGTGAGTAAATTAAATAGCTATGTAGTTTTCCCTTCACCACTGGAAGTTTCACTGAAAAATCAACTCATAAAAGGCAGATTAATAAGAGAAAAGGCATGGATATTTGTTCACATTCATGCGAGAATCACAGGGTGAGTTCCCAGTATCCCAATGGGATACAGATGTTTGTATACCTACTTCTTGAGGGAATGGGAGGGGGGCATTGTGGATGATTTTAGGGGGATTAGTAAATAATTTTCAGGGCAATTCAATGGCTGTGAAGAATATACAATGGCCTGGGAGAAAGTCTGTTGGGCCCACAGAGCAGAGAGTAGTTTGTGATAAAAGTCTGCCCATGTTGGTTGACAGATTTCTGTCTGTCTTCCTGCGACATGAGTTCAGTTAATGAAAATTCAGAGGAGGGATCAGAGGTAATTGTTTTCGTCTTTGGTAAGTATAGATCTTAGGCAGATAAGGGAATTTCAGAGAACAGCTTCATCCTTCTTTATGGCAGAAGTAAAGGACTGAGAGACAGAAGCGGATAGAGCGGGAAAAACAATTGTTCTCCTTGGTGGGTCCATCTGGTCTTTACGTAGATAGGGGAAAAGTCTCCTGCAGCATCTGTTGATCTTAAAAGACCTTTAATTTAAAATACCCATTATACCAGAGAGCCATATTTTGGGTGAAGTTCCCTGTGCTTCTTCAGCAAGAAGTAATATTTTACCAATATTCCAGTAACCCTCAGGTGAGCAATTTTTTCGTAGTTCTACACTGGCTTTGCATCACTGAAAAATTAATCTCAGAGTTCTCTGTACCCCATAACCCAAGAATGCTACCTCTCTGGGGAACCCTGCAAAACCCAGAAAGAGAATGATCATTTGGTTATAAATTCCACCTCCCTAGGGGGCAGCCTCATCTCTGCCCTTGATATGGGTGAGGTTGGAGGCAAAGGCTTGTGGTTGATTTTGGTATGCTATGGAATACCAGGCCTGGAGCCACAGGACATGACTTGTTGCTCTATTAGACATGCTAGATAATCTCCTGAAACAAAGAAATGAAGCAAAGATTAGATGGGAGGATTTTCTTGTCAAGAATTATGAATGCAAAAATAACCCTGAAAATACACCTATATTCGAATAGGGGCTGGGCAAGATAATGGACAGAAAGATTTGTTAGACATAAGGTCCCACCTAAATCAAAATGATCCACCAAGGCTCAGCTCCCAATGGGGTCTCTATGTGCAGATTCATGGGTAGAAATATTGTAGGGACGTTTTTAGTATCAATTCTGTATTTGACAATGTAATAGGCAACAAGCCTACAAACACCAATAAGATATAATCCTTTAACTGTCTTCTTTTAGTTAAAAAAAAAAAAAAGTAATCGGCAATACTCATTAAAAAGATAAATAAATAGTATTTTAAACTTTGTGACAATGGGCAGACAGCAACAAGGAAAGCAGGCCAAGGCACTGGGTTTGGAGTCAAGAGATGGGTTTTATCCTGGTTCTATGTTGAATTTACTTCCCACCATGGGCAAATCACTTCCCTATCTAATCAGTTTCCTGACCTGTAAAATGACAAAAGTCACTTCCACCTCCTAGTTTTATGATTCCAGGTCCAATACAAGAAGGAATTTCTTTTAAGGGCCCTTTTAATCTGGTCATAGTTATTCTTCCCAGCAGAGCAGAAACTTTACCTGTTTGCATTAGGCCTGGGTTGTGGGATAAGCTATCTCCTGATGGACCCCAAGAGTGTCCATCTTCCAGTCCTCTCCAAGTGACCCCATGAGAAGACTTATTAAAGGAAGGAATTCAAAACAGTATGGCCCATGGAAAGAGTATCCTTTAGGAACAAGATCTGTTTACTTAGTGGCTGGAAACTTAAATGCATGTATTGTATACCTCCCAATCCCCCACTCCCCACCCCCACTGTCATCATAGCCATTTAAAAAAGCAGCAGCACAGCAGATCTCTGGCACAGTTAGACCTTACCCGTTTTCAGCTCTGGTTTTTCACTGAGGTAATACCTTTACCTGTTGCCAGCTAGACCTGTTGGTGTGTGTAACTGTTACTTCATTCTGACTCATCACACCTTGCTTGTGGCAGCGAACCCAGGCACCATTGTTTCCTGGTGATCTCTGGCCTACTGCTTCCAAAACGCTGTGAGGCAGCCATGGAGCCTTATGAAACAAATTGACTTTCTCTCAGGTAGCCAAGGGCCTTTGGGACAGGTACCTCCTGATCCCCTTTAACCCCAGAGGGAACCCTGAAGGCTGAGCCCCTCCTAAGTTACAACATAGAAGTAAGTTCCAGTAAAATTTTCCAGGCTCTGCTAATTCCATAAGGGACTTTTAAAGAATGAGAAATGGGAGCCCAAGGTCTGCATAAAATACTACATGTGCTAAGCCCTCCAAAATCAGTTTGTTGAGGAGAAGGGGCACAGTGGGAAGAGCTTGTGTATTTTCAAGTTGGATAAACCCCAGTAAGACTAGCCACAGTGCAACATAGAACTGCTTATGGTTCCACATACTTTGCCATATTTTCATTCCATGCCTTACCATTTAAAATATTATTTAATTATCTTTTTAAGGAGTATTGACAATTACCTTTTTTTTTTTTTTTTTTTTTGCTAAAAGAGACTGTTAAAGGACTGTATCTTCTTGGTATGTGTAGGCTTGGTGCCTATCGCATTCCATTCCAAAAACATGCGCCTAATGTTTCTGGAATGTCCTCTCCCACTCCACAGCCTCTCTTCACTGAGCTAATTGCTACTTATCCTTAACACTCAGCTCAAACATCACATCACCTCCTCCAGAAAGTCTCCACTGACCTCCCCGTTTGTATTAGATGCCTCTCTTGATGCTTCCCCCCAAGGCCTTCTGTGTAGCTCTACCTGTGCACTTTACCATGTTGTTACATAATTACCCATCTTTCTCACCTAGGCTGTAAACTTTCTGTAGAACTAACTCATGTTATTCATTTTTTTCCTCTCCATAGCTTACTACATAGCCTTGTTTGTTTATTGTATGAATAAACAATCTGGTTCATCTGCTTATTAGCTGTGTGTTCTGGGCAATTTAATTCACTTCTCTGAGCCCCAGTTTTCTCATCTATTAATTGGAAATAGCTGTCCGTATTTCTCAGAGATATCATTGATATGAGAAGGTGACATATGTAAAGGCCTTCCACAATGCTGACACATAGGCACAGAGAGTCAATTCACCTCGGGCTGTGGATTTGCACAGAAAATGAAGAAAAAAACACAAAAGGAGCAAGCTTATTTCAGAGCAATGAAGACTCTTGCTGTCAGTGTGCAGACCCTTTCCTTCATGGAAGTATTGTCCCAACAAGTGCTCCCTTGCTGCAAGGAAGCCTGGAAGTCTTTTTTTCTCTCTTTTTTTCCTTTCTTCCTTCCTTTTTCCCTTTCTTCCTGTTTCTCCTTTCTTCCTTCCTTCCTTTCTTCCTTTCTCTTTTTCTCTCTTCTTGTAAATGAGAAACACATGAGCGTATCATTTCTATAAGTTTTCCTGGGAATCCAGCATCTCTAGCCAGAATAATAATAACATGGTTACTCTGATGATTTCTCCCATCGACAAACCTAGACCTTCTCTTTTGTACATAGGTCTCTTCAAGTAAGGACAGCTTATCCGGAGAATTTCTGGTGATTTATGCAGACAGCTTAGGGAGAAAAAAAGGAAGCAGCAGTGATCTGAGCCTCCTGGAAACTCAACAAGTGGCCTGACACTTGGAGAGTTTGTTCACCGTGTCCAATAAAGTTTCCAAATTCTGGAGATGTGGAAGCAGAGGCACATTACCAGAAGGCCAAGTAATAAGCGTGTTGGCAAGCACTGCTGCTGGCCCTGACTCACCATATCACACCACAGGACCATCCACACCCATCCCCTATCCCAAAACCACACATCCACACTCCCCACCACCACCTTAACACATAGACACTGCTCATTTCCCTCTGGAGATATGCAGGGCTCTCCATGGTCAAATGACCCTAAATCCTCTGGTGAATCACGTTGAATGAGAGCCCATGAGTCATCCAGAGCACATCTAACCCAGGGTTAATTTATTCAACAATCATTAAGAAAGCAAGTTCCTACTGCCAGTTGCCCTCCTAGGCATGACAGGCCGATGTTTCTAGAACATGTTTGACAGTCTTTCTCCCCAAGTCACACCATGAAGGAGAAACCGTTTCAGTTAAGTATGGTGAGTCAAGAGCTTGGCATGGAGATATTACCAAGGAAGATATCTGTGTTGAGCCTGTGTACAGATCCTTAGCATTTAATTTATTCTGCAAAGACACACAAGATGGTAGGAAACCACTCCCGGGAACTCACCAAAGAGTCAAGCAAAGCAGAGCGTTGGTACAATCACAAGTGGTAGTGTGAGGTGGAGAGGTAGGGATGGGGGAAGAGCAAAGAAAAGGAGGACTTCCCCTAGAAGACCAGCTACTTTTAAACTCAACCTTGGCCAAAGAACCAAGAAGCACTTTAGCAACTTCCCCATGCTCATCTCCAAAGTCTCCTAGGATATGAGAGGTGAAGGAGAGGGAGCTCCTTATAGAGAAATCAACAGAGAGTGATGGCAGGGCCTAGTTTGGGTTAGGCAATGTGGGCTATTGTGAGGGTTTTAAAATATAAATATGCAGAACACAGAGGGCTTTTAGGGCAGTGAACTACTTTTATGATACTATAATGGTAGATACCTGTCATTATACTTTTGTCCAAACCCATAGACTGTACAATACCAAGAATTAACCACAGCGTGAACTCTGAACTTTGAGTGATAAGGATGTGTTAGTGTAGGTTTATCAGTTGTAACAAATGGGCCCCTCTGTGGGGGATGTTGATAATGGGGAGGCCATGCATGTGTGAAGGCAGGGAGTAGAGGGGAAATCTCTACACTTTTCATTCAATTTAGCTATGAATCTACAACTTTCCAAAAAACTAAACTATATTAAGATAAAAAAAATTAAATAAAAAAGCCACATGTCTGCAAATTATTTGACAATCCTCTTATAGAGAGGGAAGGCCAGTGGGTGCAGTGGTTCACGCCTGTAATCTCAGCACTTTGGGAAGCTGAGGTGAGTGAATCATGAGGTCAGGGGTTTGAGACCAGCCTGGCCAACGTGATGAAACCCCATCTCCATTAAAAATACAAAAAATTAGCCAGACATGGCGGCGCGTGCCTATAATCCCATCTAATCCCATCTACTCAGGATGCTGAGGCAGGAGAATCACTTGAACCCCGGAGGTGGAGGTTGCAGTAAGCTGAGATCACATTATTGCACGCAAGCCCAGGCAACAGAGTGAGACTTGGTCTCAAAAAAAAAAAAAAAAAAAAAAAAAGAGAGAGAGAGAGGGAAGGCCTATATCATTTCCTCTTGTATTTGAGCAAGCTTCTGACTTACTTATAATCAAAGGAATGTGGCAGAACTGATGTTCCATGACTTCCAAAGCCAACTCGTAAAAGACCTTGCAACCTCCATCTTGTTCTCTGGAACATTTGAAAACAGGATCCACAGAGCTTACTTACTGCTCCTGCAAATGTTAGAAGCTGGCTTTTGAGAGAACCTGTCATCAACATCCCTGTCCCCATGGATGTCAGGAAGATTCAGCCTTCTTTAAGGTTAAGAGGCACTGTGTCCTCTTCATGGACTGTTCATTTTGGAAAGAATCTTGGGAGATCACCTGATTCAAGCTCCTGCCTTTAGTCATTGTCTCTAAATCCAGAGACCAATATCTCTGATGGCTTGGAGCTCTGAACCCCAAGCCGTTGTGTAAGAAATTCAGCTGCCTTGAGACCACAGTGAAAGGAAGCTCAGGTGTCTGGAGCAGCCATGTGTAAGAGTGCTGAAGGTCACAGCTGAGTCCCACCCCAGAGCCAGCATTACCTGACCGACTTGTGAATTAATCAACCTTTCATGATCCCACTCCCCCACAGCCTTGAATTCCCCAGAACCTTGCAGTCTTCCTAGTTGAGGCTCAGATGTTGTGGAGCAGAGGTAAGCAGCCCCTGACATGCCCTGTTCAAATCCCTAGCCCACGAAATCTGTGAGCCAAAAAAAAAAAAAAAAAAAGTTATTTTTATGCTTTATGCCCCTAAGTAGGTACAAACCGTACTGACTTGCAGGGCTTCACTGATCTGGAGATGGGGATGGGTGGTGTTGGAGAGTGACCTGTGTCGGGAAAAGGAGAGAGAGAAATGCACAGACCAGACCGTGACACTATGGAAGACAAACAATGACCTGAACAGTGCTATTTATACAGACAGTTCACAACTTATAATGGTTTGACTTACAATTTTTTGACTTTATAGTGACATGTAAGCAACGTGTGTTCAGTAGAAACCATACTTCAAATATCCACGTACCATTCTGTTTTTCACTTTCAGTTCAGTATTCAATAAATTACTGAGATATTCAACACTTCGTTATAAAATGGGCTTTGTGTCAGATGATTTTGCCCAATTGTGGGCTATGTCCTTGTTCGAACATTGTTCAAGTATGTTTAAGATACGTTAGGCTAAAAGATGATGTTCGGCAGGTGAGGTGTATTAAATGCATTTTCAGTCTATAATATTTTCAGCTTACCCTGTCATAAGTTGAGGAGCATCTGTAGTGTTTGCTTTTTTGAGGTGAAAAGGGAACTTCGTGTAATCACATTTCACGAAGGATCCCTGGCCTGGCCTCTGGCAGCACAGCCTTGCAGTGGTCACTGGGGACGCACACAGCCTCTCTTTATTGCTACCCTAATCAACAGGGGACAGGAGCCTCCTCCTTTCAGAGGCCCTTCCCATGGTTGGAAGCCAAACAACTTCATAGTAGAACATCTGTCTATTTCACGTAGGCTCCTTGGAGAAATGCTGGTGGACAGGATTTGAAGACTTGCAGTCAGGAATTTATTCCTCCCAGCAGGGGATGGGGGCTCACCTCCTGGTGACTCAGACCCTATGGCAGGGGCTTTTGCCACTTCTTGCTTCTTCCCTCAGCACCTCCCAGGGGTTTTTCTTAGGTGATGACAAGGATTTTGTCTCCCCAAAATGGATCCCCAAAACTGCCCTGAGATCATCCACAGTTGTCATCTTAAAAGAGACCCTAGTCAGCCTGGGAGTGTTGGTTTACATCTAGCTTCAGGGAGTTCCTTGCTGCAGAGAGCTCTCTTTATTTACTCTTTGCCTTTCTGTTATTTCCACTGCTTGGGAAAAAAAAAAAAAAACAGCTTCTCACCCCTACCCTTCCCACCATACTTCTAAGAATATTTGACTTTGTTTAAACAGCCACTCATTAGAACTCAAGTTCATTTTAAGAAAAGCCTTTAACACCCTTGTTCTCGGAGGAGAGGGAGGGTGCACTCGATAGGCCCAGTAGGCAGGTCACAGGTAGGGAGCATCCAAGACCTCTGGAGTCCTTGGGACAGGCATGGTCAGACTCCATATCTTCAGTGGAGAAGTGGAGGGTGGGTCCGCATCTGCGGGGCTTACCCATTAACCTGTGTCTTGGTTTTCTGAAGAGCTCCATGTTTTACAGGTCCACGTGTGTTGTCAGAGGCCTTCTTATCTACTTTGGTTCACTCTGATTTTAGTCTCCTCCTCTAATGTGGTGGGTGAATTGGGCCTGAACTTACAGACTATTTGAAGCAGAAGAGACCTTAGAAATCACCTAGGTCAGCCTTCAGAAAGAAAAAGTGACCTGTCCATGGTCACACAGCAATAGTTCTTCAGTGTCAAAGCTAGGACTAGAAGTAGGGCCCCTGGCTTCCAAACCAGGGCTCTGTGTTGTGCTCTCAGACTCCCCAGATGGGCTGCTTCTGGAGAGGATGAAGGAATTCAGAGAACCTGCTTGAGATCAACCAACCACAAGACTTCTGCTGCCCAAGGTCCTGTTTGCCAAAACCCCCACTCTTTCTTCCTCTTCCCACAGCCCAATCCCAGCCACCTAAACCTCTAGAATAGTTTGGAGCTGAGCACAAACAAGCTGCTAAGGCAATGTTCTATTCGTTAGGCATGCTTGAAATTAAAATTTCTGCTTATTTTAGAAATCAAGACTTTCCCACCCACCTCTCTTTCTCCTCTTTTTATTCTCCTCCCAACCCTGGCTCTAAATTCATGTCTGCTTTTCTGTTTCCCTGGCTCATAAAACATTTCACATGGCCAAGTTGCCATAAAGACTATTTTCTACAAATGCAAACACTGTACTTGGACATATCAATAAAACTTAATTTCTGTCAATGTGCTGTTTGGGGAGTTTTTCAATAAACCATATTCCTCAAACACATTTTGGAACAAACTGAAATACCAAGAAAAGAAGAACATGGTTATTTGCAGACAATGGAGGGACCACTTCAACATAAATATTGTAATAGATGGACAGATTGTCCTATATTATAGCTCTCTGTGTAAGTATCTATTTTTTCCCACTGGAACTGACTCCTTAAGGGTTTATATCATTTCGGTTTCAATTCCACATCCCTCACAACTCCTAAGTTCTTTTCATATATGAAGGCCTCTATACATGTTTATTAAATTGAATGTTTTTTAAATGTAGTGAGGGCATACTATGTGATGTAGTCAGAATATTAGATGTTTTCATGGCTTTAAAAAAAGTTGATCCCTATGGCCATTCTGTATCAGTTATTGATTGCCACAATAATGACATTTTATAAACCACCCAAAAGCTCAGTAGATTAAAACAATAACCTTCTATTTTTTCTTATGGGTCTACATGTTGGCTGGCCAATTCTGCTTATCTGCATGGGGCTCAGCCAGTCTTCATGAGGGGTGTTCATGCATCTGTGGTCATCTGGAGGGAAGGTGGGGGAAGTTGATCTAAGATGGCCTAACATGGAGCAGCTGGAATGATTGGGGCCTCTCTTCACATGATTTTTTTTTTTTTTTTTTTTTTTCCCAGCAGGCTATACTTACACTCATGGTGAAGAGAGCAGGATTTCAAAGAGCAAATGGAAACATGCAAGACTTTTTGATGCAAGTCATAGAACTGGCACACCGTCACTTGGACCACACTTTTTTGGCTAAAGCAAGTCACAAGGCCAGACCCAGATTCAAGGGCTGGGGAAATCAATTCCATCTCTCAGTGGAAGGCGCAACCAACTTATGCCACCATAGGCTGAAGAATTATGGCCATTTTTGCAATCAATTCACTACATGAGTTTAATTTTAAGATGATGAAAAAAATAGGTCAAAAATTTTATAAAAAATGTTGTAACACTGGATTATGGTGATAGTCGCACAACTATAAATTTACTAAAAATCATTGAACTATATGCTTACAATGACTGAATTTTTTGATATGTAAATTATCCCTTAGTAAGGCTGTTGAACAAAACCTGAAACTATTTGTAAAACTTTATTGAAGATCATTTAAGTCATAATTGTCCAAATCTGCATTTAAATTCAGGAATTCTAGCATGAAACTTGGTAATCCTTTCATTGCAATATATTTATCACACTTAAAGCATTAGATCCTCAGAATCAGATAATCTAGGAACTAGAAAGTACTTCTGCAGATTACTTAGTCTACCCCTTTTTCAAGCAGTTGAATGTGTAAAGCACCTAGTGCCAGTGCATAAGTCCTCTCTTGGGTTGAAAAATAGGAACAGCTCTACAGGAAACCTGAGCCAGGTGAAAAATATGTCTCATCTTCTCATGTGGGATCCAGTATAGTTAACACTGGGAAAAAAAACTTGAACCACCGTTCTTTCCAGAAACAGAAAATACAGACAATTCTTTTGATTTTACTTCTTTCATTTTATGATGAACTTGTCCTGAGTAGCCAGGATACCACAGGTACCCAGATTCTAGTATTAATAGCATTAGCATTTTTCTTCCATTTTGGTACCCAGAGTCCAAATCTAAATGTCTTCTTTAGGGCTGAAAGTGGTCGTATTCAAATTAAAGGTCACCCAAATAACTTCTTTTGTGGGTTAAAATCTCTAGCATGAGGACTCCAAGAAGAACAGTTTTTTAAAAGGTGGACATGTACAATCTGGTCCTTCTATTGCAAGCATTAAGGGGTCTGTGAAGATGATGAACAAATGGGAAGTGTTCCAGTTTTATCTTATAATTTGGACTTGTTTCTGGAGGGAAAAAAAGAAAGTAAAATCCTGAGGAAATGCATCCAAGCTCTCCATAAACAGAGCTTTGAAGAGCAAATTGAGCAGCTTTCATCAATCACACACAGACCACAGCAAACACTGCCCAAGGAAAATTACTCACCCAGTGTCAGGCAGGGTCAGGCAAACATTATCAAATGCTCTTTCAAGATATTATGAACCAGAATCAGAGGGGGAGAAGGAAGTAGAGGAGTGCCAAAAATAAGATCCGGAGGGGAAGGGAGGCAAATAAGACAGAGAATGAGATGCAGTGGCAAAGAGGATGTGAAGGGAAGAGAAAGAGAAGAAGAAAGAGTGAGGAAGAGACACAGAAAAATATATAAATAGGTAGCAAGAGTCAGAGAGCAGAAGGGAAGCAGAGAGAATGGTGCAGTAAAACAGAACAAAAGTAAATCAACAGCAACAAAAGGAAAGCTGGAAAACAAGGTGGAGAGAAATAGTCTTTCCCCGTGGGTGGGGTGGAGGCCACATTGGTAGCCATCTGTCCTGAGGATATGTCATCTATATGACCTTTCATTGAAAACTAGCCAAAATAGTTCAAGTTTCCATGTATAGAGGAATGTTATCATGTCTCAGTGAAAGGAAAGAAAAAGTAAACCCTTCAATCGTCTTCCTCTCCGGCTCCCCAAACTTATTCACTAGGAGGGACTATTTGATCATTCTGGATGGTTTCACTCAGGCCCTGAAAATGAGAGGAAACACAGCCATTAGAAACCAGCTCAATGCCCACCCAATCTCCCACAGGAGTAATTTTACCTTTTATTACAACAAAGCTCAGGCAGTCATGTACCCACTCAAGTTGTAAATCTGCCTTCTTCATAGATCAAGTTCGATTTTCCAACTAATTAGAGAAAAACAAACCCACTCCTAGGTCAAAACCAAGCAAATATCCCCATCTCTGCACAGGACCCGGCTCTGTCTTAATTAAGAGGTAAGGCCCTGGGTGCCTGGGTGTTCCTTGGGGAACTTTGAGGGGCCAGGGGTCAGCAGGAGGGCAACCGGTGCAAGAAGAGAGCCAGTGCACCAAGGAAAATATATGAGGAATGGGAGACAGAGGAGCCTTCTCCAAAGAAAACTTTGCTAATTTACACGCTTACTCCATAAGGAGACATTGCAAATGACAATGCATGAAGAGATAGAGTCCTCAAGACAGCTTAACTATTGGTACACCCTGAACATCAGTTACAATTAGGCGAGGTACTAAGAGCCAGTTGACAGTGGTTCCCAATTCTTAACTGAAGAGTTCAGATAGGAGCTGAGAGAATAACAATAGCTAGAATTTACTGAGTCAATCATTTTTACATGCACCATTTTATTTAACCCTCACAATAACCCTATCTAATAGACATTCTTCTAATTATCATTCCCATTTTACTGATGAAGAAACTGAGGCTCAAAGAGGTTACATAACTGGCCCAAAGTCATACAGTGAGCAAGTACAGAAGTGGAAATCTGAGCTTGCAACTGACTCCAGAGCTGGTCTCAGTCACTCTGTGGCCTGCATTGCTCCAGTAGCAGATGGGTCTGATAGAACAGCATGTTGGCCCTGTGTACTTGTGAACATCATGCAGGATGGAGAGAAAGGGGACAGTCCTGGAAGCCGGGACTCATAAGCAGCCTCAATCCAGTTGGGAAGGAATCAGGGTTTTGAATAGAATGGTAACAGTCCACGTCGCAAAGATGAGGCCAATTTACCCTATGAAAAAATTTTGAGCTTTGGGATAAATGGTATAGTCACTGGCTGAGACAGGAGGTAGCATCATTATGGGCAACAACAAGCTTAGGGAGCTCTGTAAACTTTTCTATTTCTCTTTATGAAAGCAAAAGACCATAAAATTATCTATAATTACTGAGCCATCAGCACTTAATTACAGCATCTCTTGCATGGGCCAACATGGCAAATGACTCCACAGCACTAATGAGTGTCCTGAGCTCCTCTTTCCACTTCCAGCTTGACCTGGAATACACTGGCACGAACAGCCCTTCCCGTCCACTCTGTACAGCAGAGGCATCAGAGTACAGGCTGTGTGGCCAGACAGACCTGTGTTCAGATCCTGTTCCCACAACTCACTCACTGAGGAACTTTAGACGCTATTCAACTTCTCTGAGCCACAGTTTCCTCATCTGTAAAATGGGGACAGTAAAATACATCAGTCCCAGGGAATGTCAGGATAAAATAAAAAAGATAAATGCATAACACCTAGGACAATGCCTAACGTATAATAAGCACTCTTTTAAAAAGATATTATTATTGTATATTTCCACCCCTTCATCTGACTTGTTTGAAGCTGAAAGAGGAAGAGGCAAACCGAGTGAAATTGCTTACATAAAAGCCAGATAGAGCCTGGCTATTCCACCGAAGACAATAATTATAAAGCTGCTTCAGAGCACAGAGTTCCAAGAATGGAATCCACATTTGGAACAAGTTCATTAAAAAATTGCTTACTCATAAAAGCTACTATCGTTATAGCCTGACAAATGGAAGACACGACACCGATAAATACGGAGCCAGCAGTCAACAAGACTACACCAAGAGTCCCTTGATTTCTCTCTTCCCCATCCTTCAACTGTTTCTTCACCTTTTATGGGCTTATAATGACAAGTTCAGGTAGGTTTCATGTGCTGTTTACTCTGAGTTTTCTTCAAACTCCAAATGGAGGGAAGAAGCCTCCGGGCTTCTCTACTTAGTCTCCCAGAATGGAATGAGGCAGGCTCAGCACCCAGCAGGCCTAGCTGCCACCTCTTGGCACCACAGAGTCAGCTCAGGCCTTTCCTCACCTCCACAGCCTATCTAGAGACCTCTGAACCCTCACACCTGTGCATCAATGCATCCCCTCATGACTCATGAGTCCATTCCAAGGAAAGTGTCACACTGTTTTGCAGGACACTCTCCCAGGCAGTGTCCCGCTGTTTTTCCCTCCCAGTCAGTGTCCCACTGTTTTGCCCCAGCCCAAATAGGTCACATTCTCGGTTGTGGAATGAGTCCCTAACAGAAAGTCAGGAGACTGGGATGATTATGCAGTCCAGATTCTTACTAGCTGGACATTGTCACTCAGCTTCCCTGAGTCTCAGTTTTGCTGTCTATAACGTGGGGATAATAATACTTCCCTCAGAGTGTTCCAGTAGCGGTTAAATAAGTTTATAGTCACAAACTTGTGCTATGGAGTGTCTGGCACTTGTGGCAGATGTTGCAGTTAGTCAGTAGCAATAATTTAGCACCCCGTATCTGAGCTCCATTCTGTGATCTTGGGTGTGGGGGTGGCAATGAAAAGAGAGAAGAATGCCCCACAAGGGTCTACCCTCAGAGTTTTGACTCACCATGCGATCAAGAGACTTCAACATGCGTTCAAAGAGTTTCTAAGTGCAGATACGAACTAAGGAAATGGGGTGAAGAGAGTGGGTGCTGGTACCTTCCCCTGCACTCACCCACCTCCACCCACCTCCGCTCTGCCCCAGCCCTGCAGGACTTGACTATGTCTTGTTCCCTTGCCAAAAAAAAGGACAGCAACATCAGACAGGAAGCAGCTTAGTGCTTTTACAGAGCCTGCGGCCAAACAAACATGTGCCAGCATTTACCAGAAACCATGGTAAATCTTATAAATTCTTACATAACAAAAGCTTGTAATCTCTGAGTCCACATATTCCTTTTTCAAGCAAGTCCCACCTACTTGACTACTGTTTTTCAGGAGGTTAAAACAAAAAACGATGTGTCACTTAGTTACACAAATGAACAGCCAATTTGGACTTTGAAAAACTTTAAGTATTTTTGTAAAAAAGGAGCAAAACACTAAGTAATACATTTTGGGAGCCAAATCCTTCCAAAACAAAATTTCCTTGAAAATTGTGCTTCTGCGCATGGGTACCTATTCCTCTCAGAGACAGGAAATGGCTTGCTTGGATTCAAATATGGAAAAGCTAGGCTTTTAGGCATCCACTCTCTTATTCTAGAAATATTTATTGAATGCACACTATGTGGAAAACATTGTGCTAGGTGCTGCAATACAAAGATCAAAAGGTTCAAGAGACAGAGGTAAGCTGCCTCTAAACTAAGATGCTGCTGGGGACCCTCTCTGGTGATGTTTTTACCTGACTTAGCAACAGGCCATGTATTTCATTAAAGTCTTCATTCTACTGATGATTACTCCAAAC